CTGATAAGATAAAACCAAAGCAGTCATCACTGTTAAGCAAGTAAAATTGTATCAGTAAACTCACGTGTTAAAGATCCTTGCACCCTTGATCAGCATTTTGGCTGCTGTAATGTATTCGCGTGCCTTCTTCGGTTCTTCACATGCAACACGGTGCAGACAGTCATAGTCACTGTTTGCATCACCCATGAGATATGTGAGCAGAAGTAATAGTTCTGATTCTGTTATAAATGGGTTGGCTCGTGGGTCTGGGATCATGTTGTCCTCATCAGAGCTGCGGCCATAACCGGAGGATCCACCTCCATTCTTCAGGAATCCAAAAGAGAACAAGCCTGCTCCGAATAGCAGGGCTTTTAGAACCAACAAGATGAACAGATTGGTCAAATTGAGGCTCAGAACCTAAAAGTGATTGAAAGAAAACTGATAATTTGTTATATCTAGTGGCAGAATGGTCTGAAGTGAGAGTAATGTGGGCTGTTACAGCATAGAATTTAGTGTAACATATGTTCAGGTTTATTCATGCTGCTGAATGAAATAGAATTCTGAAAATTCAGACTGTGAATAATAATTTCTCCATTTCATTATCATCTTCAAATTTGTGAGGAAAAGTTACCTTTTTGTTGCATGCTATGCAGTACTTGATGAATACCGAGGAGGTTACTGTAGCGGTAAAGCTTCAGACTTGTATCTGGGAAGTACTCAGTTTTAATGTCTTCCTAATTACCAGGTTTCCTGACTGAGGTTTTTTTTTCTGGTGGGATAGTATCTTGAAATAGTCAACGTCAGCCTCGTTCAAAATTATTGCCTCGGTCCCCTTCCATCACATTCGACGCTATCCCGCAGCTGAAGGTCATACTCGGCGTTTGGCACACTTGCTTCGTATTGGCAGGATCGTACTTCAGATCCCGGCACGGAGACCGGCTATACTCACTGAGGTTGTTCGTGGCTTTTCTCGATAAACGAAGCAAATATCGGGATAATACCTTAAATCCACCACGACCACTTTCTTCCATATCCTTTCCATTTTAATAAACATTTATAACTCTGTCATTCTTAACTGTATTCGTAAACTTAGCTGCTGATAGCGTCGTAAATAAATTGCATGAAAAGAATTTATATTTTGCACTTAAAATAGTGTCATTACACGATATTCATGACGAACTCTGGCGTTATCCATTGGATCATTGATAAAGGAAAATATATGGGGGTGGGGATGTCGTCCACCCCATTTCAGACGGACTGTATGCTGTGCAATTATTATTGCATGCGCAACTCTCAGTTCCGTAATGAACTCTAGGGCCTTGCATATAAGAACGTCTTAGAGGTACAGCTTCACGCTCTGTTATTTTTTCTGTGTGAAATCTAATTACCGGAAGAGAATTAACATTCGTGTCAGAGACTTATAGCCTGTAGGAGCAGGTAAACAGTTCAGTGGCCTCATGTTTGCGTGAAGTGCATTTTCAGATATCTGGACCAGTGTTTTCAGTTGGTGGTTCAAGGATCGCTGTTGGTCCTTGGCTTAATTTATACAACTCCGTCGATCTATTTAACATTTTACGTATTTCAAAGCTTGTATATATTACCAAAATGGAAACAATTATTTTACAAGTATTCACATTTCCGTTTACTTTAATGACAATAGTTTCTGTTGAACGTCACCACTTTTAATAATTTTGCTGGTTTTCGTCGAGTGATTAGGTAGAGGATGAGGTATTAGGTTTCTTACTGCACCCACCAAGGAAGAAAAGGAGAAACCGTGCTAAAGAAAACCCAGATTCTTGTAATAAATTGTTCCAAAATTCCTCCTGCATTTATGTTCTTTACCGACCGAGCTGATATGAGTATCGGTGTAAACACGTTTTTTTTTTTTTTTGGGGGGGGGGGGGGA